AAATCTTTTAGCGATGAGTTAGATTCTGATTGGACATCGTCTATTGAAATTGGTAATTCTAATAGGTGAAAATAAGTATAATATTTATAATAATCTTTATATGGAAAGTTATAATACTTACTGTTTTCTTTGACTTAATTTATATGACTCACTTTCCTTTTTAATGAGTTTAAAAACGAATGACACATTTTATATTTAATAACAACTTAATTTCAATATACTCATTTTACCATTAATAAAATGATTCATAGTCATATAAATATCTACAACTTATTTTAAATCACAAATTTCAAAAGTTTTTCTTTCTTTCGTAACCTCTATGGCAATTCAGATTTATATCATATAAATTAAGACGGAGGGAATATAATATGGTAATAATCATATCATAGGGTGTTCGTTAAAACGCCGCCTTCAATAATTCTTTTTAAAATGTGCCTATGTTGACTTATATTCCAAGTTGTAACCAAAATAAGAGTTTTCTTTGTTTTATTGTTACTTTTCATTTACATTATTTAATAATTTTATTTATATAATATATTAATAATAATAGATCCCTCTCTATATATAAGATTTCTTTTCCACCATTCAAATTATTTCCTCTTTTTCTTCTCTGTTCTTAACATGAAGAACCAAAATCAAAACTCCATAGCAATGGCTATTAAATCATTCAACACTCCAATAAATATTATAAATCTCCTTTCTTCTTTTTTCTTATTTGCTTGTGGTATAGCATGTGGTATTATTTTCACTTTTTATTTCAAAAACTTTAGTGTTAACTTACAAGTCATCAATGGCCAAATTTTAAACTATTCTTCTTTAAATTCACATCCATTATCACCACCACCACCACCATCACCGCGATCGATAATTCCTCGATTAGGGTTGAATGAGTATATCAAGCCAATTAATGTTGAACATGATATGAGTGATGAAGAGTTATTTTGGAGAAGTTCAATGGTGCCAAAAGTTAAAGAATTTCCATTTAAAAGAGTACCAAAAGTGGCTTTCATGTTTTTAACAAGAGGGCCAATTTTGTTATCACCACTTTGGGAGCTATTTTTTAAAGGAAATGAAGGATTTTATTCAATTTATATACATTCTGATCCTTCTTATAATCAATCACATGTTGATGAAAGTTCTATTTTTCATGGAAGGAGAATTCCTAGCAAGGTTAGTTTCATATTATATAACTTTTTTTTTCTCTCTAGTATCTTAGTTTCTTTCTTATTTGTTTCAATTCGTTGAGTCAGACAAATATTTGGTATTTAAATGGAGAAGAATAGAATAATAGACCGATTATCTACATACGAGGATTTTCAATTTGCACTAGGGTTGACTCAAATTGAATTCACATAACAAAGTCTCATATTAGGATAATTACTACTCTATAAGTAAGAAGTACTTAAGACAGAGGAGATAGGTTCGAACCATGCATCACTAATCCTCTAAAAATTTTGTGCACATTAATAAAGCAAAAAACACTTAATTAGAGAGATAAAAGACCGTTTAGACGAATATTCTTAAAGCTATGAAACACATTTTATTAAGAAGACGAAAGTTCTTGATGATTTCTTTCCATCTGTTCAAGTTTTGATGAATAGAGTAATATTTTAACTCTGTTGATAGGGTTAGAGATAGCATTTCAATAATCAGTCGAAGTATTCACAATTTAATCCTTCAAACACCACGATTATAAAAATAATAATATGAATAATTGTATTATAATATTTGTTTCTTTACTATGGTACCTTGGAATTGATGAGTCATTAGCTGAGGCAAAAGATTGGGACCATTTTGTCATTAATAGCAAAGTGTTTGTAAGACTCTGACAAAACTTAAATGGAATATATTTATATAAAAAGAAAATAATTAATTAATTGAAGGATATTTAATTGTAAAGAAAAGAATGGAGTATTGAAGTAGTCAACAAGGCTATATTCGTTTCTTTATGAAAATTCAAGAATAAGTCTAGATTCTAGGATCATGATGTTTCTTACTATTCAAAAAAAAAAAAAAAACTAGTCAATAAAGAAAGGAAAATAAATAAATAATAAATGATAAATAATTTTAAAAAAGATTTACAATAAAGTAGGTGACTTTGTTAGAAATCTAGTGGTTCGTATTTATTAGCAAACAATCAATCCTATTATAATCAAGAGATTTCGAGTTCGCACTAGAATAATTTAACTTTAAGATAGTGAAGTTTTTTGATGTGAACTTATTTGCTTTACTCTTTCTCCAATATTTTCACGTATAGAGTTTGCAATATAATTTTGTTAAGAATTAAAGGATATATGTAGCATTAGAGCAATTTAACCTGTTATATTAGATTATTTATTATATATTTTAATCAGGTTATCAATTGATAGTTAATGTATTTATTTTAGAAGTGATCTAATCGTATGATTATTTTTTTATATCGTCAATATATAGAACTTAAATTATAAATTATAGAACTTTCAAATAATGTTCATAGTTTTTTTTAAACAACATATGTTCCATTAAACTATTTAAGAAAACTTTATGTGCTCCTTTTTTTTTTTGTTACTCTTCAATATTTTTTTCCATTTATGTCATAGATTTTCTCTGACAAATTATTGATTTTATGGCCTATATGTTTGGATATATAGTTGTATATAATATTAAATGGGAACTATAAACCCATGTGTGTTTTAATGAGAAGCAAACTACTCATGTCCCTTGTTAGATTTTTTTTTGTTATCTCACCAAGTATTCGGTATTCGTTTTGAGATCTAACTAATTCGAATTGCATCAAGAAACTTCATTCTGGGAATTAAATATTTCCTACCTAATGCATCTCAATTCATTCATAGAATTTGAATACGAAACCTCTATTTAAAAATAAAGTACTTACTCCTTTATCATATAGTTTGTTATCATTATCTGCAATCTGTTTTAATATCCGACTAATCTGAATTTAAATAGAAAACTTTAACTTTAGGGTTAAGACAAAAATGGGCCTACCCCATTTTATTTTATTTTAGCTATATATGAAATGAAAATGGACCTACCCCCAAACTTTTTCTGGTGAAAACAACTTATAAATGCTTCAAACTACCAAAAAAAAAGAAAAAGAGAGAAGTATTTCTAGCTAATGATTTTTTATTGGTTTGATAATTATTACATCAATTGCTTGAAGTATACATTTATAATTAATAGACTAATATCATTAAAAATAAATTAAACTTTTGTTTAATTGATGAAATGCAGGAAGTTGAATGGGGAAAAATAAATATGGTTGAGGCTGAAAAAAGACTACTTGCAAATGCTCTTCTTGATATCTCTAATCAAAGATTTGTTCTTCTCTCTGAGGCATGCATTCCCTTGTTCAATTTCTCTACTATCTACACTCACCTAATGAACTCCACGAAAAATTTCGTGGAGACATATGACCAGCCCGGCCCAGTGGGCCGGGGTCGATATCACCCACGGATGAGCCCGACTATCAAACTTCCACAATGGAGAAAAGGGTCTCAATGGTTCGAAATGGACAGAGATCTCGCCTTAGAGGTCGTTTCTGATCAAACGTATTTCTCGGTTTTCAAGAAACATTGCAAGGGCTCGTGCTATGCTGACGAACATTTTTTACCAACTTTTGTAAGTATGAAATTCGAAAAGAGGAATTCGGGTCGGACTTTGACATGGGTTGACTGGTCGAAGGGCGGGCCCCACCCAACCCGTTATTATAGGTCAGATATAAGTGTGGAGTTTTTGAAAAAGCTGAGAAGTGAGAGTAGTTGTGAGTACAATGGTGAAAAGACAAGTGTTTGTCACTTGTTTGCAAGGAAATTTACACCACATGCTTTGAGTAGACTATTGATTTTTGCACCAAAGGTTATGCAATTTAACCATTAATTAGGATTAATTAACACAAATTGATGTACATGGAAAAAAAATTTAATTCTTTGTACAAACCTTAACTTGATCACATGATCAATGGGTTCATTTATTAATTCATTCTTTGATTTTGATTTTTCCTTATTTTTCCCCTTGTAAAAAAGTAAATGTGAGATATGTAAGAATTTCAGTTTTTATTTTAAATAAAAGACCATTTTTTTGCTTATTCATAATGTTAGTGTTTGTGTATAAATCCTACGCTTATATATAAAGGATTTTTCTTCCTTTGTGTAATAGAGAAAATGATGAGAAGTGTTACACGATTGTATTTATTGTACTTATACGCGTATTTAGGTTATACGGTGTATTTCCACCTTTCTCTCTTCATAGATATGTATCAGTTGTATTTATTCGCTCTTGTATAGTTTGTATCATTCATGATATATAAATACAATAAAGAAAGCGCAAAATTACAAAATATAAAAAGAGAATTTTGTAGTTAGAATTTGAATTTCTTTTATCTAAAAGAAAGACAAGTATATTGTATTCATTGGTTTGGCCCAAAGGTGTTGGGTAAGTTATTTACTAGTCACGAGTTAAACTATAGACTGTGATAAACATTTTAAAATGTATTTTTTTTATCATATTAAACGAAGAGACATTGTAACTTGTAGTATTTTCCAAATATCTAAATTGAAAATCTAAAACTTATTAAATTAATCTAATTTAATAAGCTTTAAAAATTAGTTAAATTAATTCTTGAGAAGCAAAACATGATAGATATAAACAAGAAAATTAACAATGATAAATATCTAATATATATTTTTTCAGTTAAAACACCGCCCTAATATATATTTTGAATTTTCTTGTTTTATTTTTATTGACTTTATTTAATAATTGTTTTTTTATATAAATAGATTAGTAATAAATCCTAATTTGGTACGGATTATGATTACTATAGTTGCTAGGTAATAATATTAATATAATCCTAATTTGATACGGATTATGATTAACTAAACCTCTATATATTAAGACAATCGATTTTTTTCCCTTCATTCAAATTATATTTTCTCTCTTAACATAATATAATCATGAAGAACAAAAAACAAAATTTCAGAAATTTATTCACTACCCCATTAAATATGATATATCTCCTTTCTTTTTTCTTCTTTTTTGCTTGTGGTATAACTTGTGGTATTATTTTCACTTCTTATTTCAATGACTTTAGTGTCAACTTACAAGTTATAAATGGCCAAATTTTAAACTATTCTTCTTTTAATCCACCACCATCACTACCACCATCATCGCGATCGATAATTCCTCGATTAGGGTTGAATGAGTGTATTAAGCCAATTAATGTTGAACATGATATGAGTGATGAAGAGTTATTATGGAGAAGTTCAATGGTGCCAAAAGTTAAAGAGTTACCATTTAAAATACAACCAAAAGTGGCTTTCATGTTTTTAACAAAAGGGCCAGTTTTGTTATCACCACTTTGGGAGCTATTTTTTAAAGGACATAAAGGATTTTATTCAATTTATGTACATTCTCATCCTTCTTATAATAAATCAAATATTGATGAAAGTTTTATATTTCATGGAAGGAGAATTCCAAGTAAAGAAGTTGATTGGGGAAAAGTAAATATGGTTGAGGCTGAAAAAAGATTACTAGCAAATGCTCTTCTCGATATCTCTAACCTGAGATTTGTTCTTCTCTCTGAGGCATGCATTCCCTTATTCAATTTCTCTACTGTCTACACTCACCTAATAAACTCCAACGAAAATTTCGTCGAGACGTATGACCAGCCCAGCCCATTGGGCCGGGGTAGGTACCGCCCACAAATGAGCCCGATGATCAAACTTTCACAATGGAGGAAAGGGTCTCAATGGTTTCAAATTGATAGGGATCTTGCCGTAGAGATCGTTTCAGACAAGACGTATTTCTCGATTTTTCAAAACTACTGCAAGGGCTCGTGCTACGCTGATGAACACTACCTGCCAACGTTCGTGAACATGAAATTCAAGAATTGGAATTCGGGCCGGACCTTGACTTGGGTTGACTGGTCGAAGGGTGGGGCCCACCCGGCCCGATTTAATAGACAAGATATAACTAAAGAGTTCTTGAAGAAGTTGAGGAGTGAGAGTAGTTGTGAGTATAATGGTAAGAAGACAAGTATTTGTCATTTGTTTGCAAGGAAATTTACATCACATGCTTTGAGTAGACTCTTGATGTTTGCACCAAAGGTTATGCAATTAAACCATTAATTAGGATCAATTCAACCATTTTTTACTCATTCATAATATCTTGCAACTTGTTATGTTAACCTTATAAAACTTCTCCTAAATTATATCTTATAGATAAAAGGATTAAAACTAAGAGGTTAATTTACATAACTCAGAATAACAAACTAGTAGGAAAAAAAACTCACTACTGACTAGCTGCACCACATGTATTATCTTCAGAAACAGCAGGAGAGTCAGAAACAGAATCAGTAGCAGTGTCATGAGAAGGTGAAACTTCAACACCTCTCAACTCTTCAATCATTTTCACAACATAATTTATTTTAGGCCTTTGATCTGGTGATGTTGAAGTACATGCCATAGCTATCTGCAATAGCCCCACCATTTCCTCCTCAATGTCCTTATACCTCATCAACTCCAAATCGAACACTTCCGCAGTCCATTCTTCCCTCACCACGGATTGCACCCATCTTGGTAAGTCAACAACCCCTCCGTAGCCGGTTGTGAGGCCACTACCGTTGTCCACGACTGAGGGGCATTTACCGGTTAGCAGCTCGAGTAATAGGACCCCGAATGAGTAGATGTCGGACTTTTGAGTTATTTTACGACCATCCAATGCGACTTCAGGGGCTCGGTAGCCGTTGGTTTTTGGGACGGAAGATGGTGTGGCGAAGATGGCTAGACCAAAGTCGGAGACACGTGCATTGCCGCTCTTGTCGATGAGGATGTTAGTTGATTTGATGTTGCCATGAGTGAGTTTCAAGGACTTGCATGAGTTGTGGATGAAGGCTAGCCCTCGAGCCGCTCCGGCTGCAATCTTTAACCTTGTTGTCCAGTCTAAAGGAGTTCTTCCAGGCCCTCTGTTACCTGTAGCAAGAAGATTCATGTCCATCAAAACATTTACTCAAACTACTATAAAATGGAACACTTACACATTTTCGCTTATTTGCCCCTTTCCCATTTTTGGCAACTATTTAATTTCAACTTTCCACATGACATGTTTAAGAACTAAGACCAGAAGATTCAAAAGTGTTCTTTACTTTTCTTAAACTCCGTGCCAAGTCAAAACCAGACAAACAAATTGAAGCGGAGGGAGTATTTGTTATAGAAAGATAAAGATGCAACTTTAACTAGACAAAAGAACAATACCATGGGCAGAGAGGACAAGGAGTTTGAAGTTGACATAGCAGACTTTGATGGTAGGAATAGTAACACATAATTGTTCATATTTCTAAAATGAGAAAATTTAACATATGAAGCAGCTGTCTCCTGTTACATGAATGACAGGTGCAATTCAACAAGAAGTTGATTCTTTACCATTTGAACCAGAAAGAATACTAAGTGATGTCAAAAAGACAAGCAAAAAAGCTGTAGAGCACAATGGGACAGTAGGGCATCTCTTGCCTAAAAAGTGTGAATTTCTTTCTTTTGCTTTGGCCCAAAAATCAGAGGGAACACATAATTCTATTCATCTGGTACAACAAGTCCTTTGCTTTAATCTTCTGTCACTTAAGGACCATCATGAGTAAATTAGATTCCTTTAAAAACTTTTTCAAGAATAAGATGATAAAGATTGTTAAATAATTTAAGTTCCCTACATTTGAAAATCAAGAATAGCTTATGTGACAAAGATTGTTAATGAACCAACATACCTTGACCAGAAACTCCAATATTCTATAGTTTTAGCTTGAAAAGACTACGTAGGACTTACCCATGTCGGATCCTCAAAAAATGCCTCATCGACATTTTTGAAGAGTCCGAGCAACGTAGATTTTCAGTATCCCCACATGGATAGTTTCAATTATGTAAATAGAAACATTAACTAAAGCAAATACTGTCTAGTATTGAGGCATCCCATCTTTATTCCTATTGCATCAGAAGGCTAGCCCTGGTTAACAGTAGCAGACCAAAAGCAATTAAAGACAAAAAGCCAGACTCAAACCCCATGTGATTATGCTATACTACTTGCCAAACTTTACCACCAAATCCATCAATAATCTTCTCCTTTTTTCCCATCCGGTGTACGGCAACCGCATTGGAGCCGGATACGGGTTCGCGCTAGGAAGTCCCACGTAGGGACAAACCGCTACCTAACAAGGGCAAGTCCATACTCAAGGCTCGAACTTGAAACCTCAGATTAAAGATGACGAAGTACTTACAACTCCACTATAATCCTTATTGGTCAATCAATAATCTATTCTACAACAAAAAGCTAAAGATCACATTTTTCTTTAAGAAACAAGTAATTCACAAATATTTTAGTACTATGAATTTCTTAAAGAACAAAAGGTTGAATACTATTTACCATGAATAAGCCAAAACAAGTGATGAAATCATACACCAAACTCACCAACAACTACTCAATCTTTAGCAAAGTAATATGCTTTCAAACTATCCAAATTTGGGTTTCTATTCTTATATGCATTAGAGACCAGTCCTTATTAACAGTTGCAGCCAAAAAAAGCAACTAAAAACCAAAAAAAAACAAGACACAAACCAACCACATGTGACTTTTGCTACTAGTTGCCAAACTTTATCACCCAAATCAATCAATTTCAACAAAACAATCCTAAAGATCACATTTTTCTTTTCAAAATCAACAAGTTCAACAACACAATCACATATCAATAACAAGAACAACATACTCAGTGTAATCCCGCAAAGTTACTCCATTTTAAAATATGTTAGTACTATTGAATTTCTTGAAGAACAAAACTTACCATGAAGAAGCCAAAACAAGTTGCCATTAGTCATGAACTCATACACCAACAACTTCTCATCTCTAGCAAAGTAATATGCTTTCAAACTAACCAAATTTGGGTGTCTAAGTCTTCCTAAAACTTCCATTTGTTGCTCAAATTCTCTTTTTCCACAAACATTCAATTCTTTCAATCTTTTCACAGCAACAACATTTCCATCATCCAACACAGCCTTATAAGCAGTCCCAAATCCCCCTTTTCCCAACATCTCAGCTGAAGCTCTCAACAAATCCTCAAGCTCAAACCTTTTCGCCCCTTCGAAAAACACCATCTTCCCTCTCTCGAACCCACTCGTCTGGCCCGTATTAGGATACGGGCTAGACGAGTACACAATCTTCTCACCTTCAAGAATGTGTGACCCATTCTTCTGAGAAGAAACTTTCCTAATGCAGAAGAAACAGTAGAGAAAAATACACACAACACATAGAACCAACACATCACCTAGTATAATGGCGATTATTGCTAATGAGCTCATTTTACCACTACTATGATGGGTATTTTTTGGACTCAAAGTTGCAGAGGTCACCGGCAATGAGCTCGGAGAAGATGCAATGGTAGTTTTAGGACTCACCGGAGAAGCTAAAGCTCCTGCCGACGACGACGGTTCACGAGGAACCGCCGCCGTACAGTTTGGCAACGGAGAACCACAAAGAACCCGGTTCTTCGAAAATGCAGATTCCGGGAAATGAGATAGCGAAATGGGTATTTCTCCAACGAGTTTGTTACCAGAAACGTTAAACTCTTGAAGATTAGGTAGATTAACCCCAGAAATCTCACCGGAAAACCCATTTCCTTCAAGACGAAGAGTAAGCAAATGGGTCAAACGATTCACCTTCACCGGAATCTCACCGGAAAACTTATTATACGACAGATCAAGTCTATAAAGCTTAAAAAGCGAGGTTAACGACTCAGAAAACTCCCCAGAAAGCTCATTATGGGAAAGAAACAGCAGCTTCAAAGCAGTAAGGTTCGAAAGATTCGGAACAGAACCGGAAAAATTGTTATATTTCAAGCTCAATACTCTTAACTCTTTGAGAAATACAAGATTTTGGAAAGACCCTTTTAGATTAAGACCTTCAAGAACAAGTCTAGAAACTCTATTGTTAAGACAAGATACACCAGTCCAAGAACAGGGGCTAGTTGATGAGTTCCAGTTATAGAGTGAGTTTGTTTCATCTGAAGCTGATTTGAAAGCTAGTAATGGTGCAACATCTGGGTTTGGGGAAGATTCAAGAAGGGTGAAGAGGAAGAAGAATGAAAGAAAAGTGTAATGGAAGTTCATGAGTAGAGTAGTAGTAGCCATTGAAGAGTGAAGAGAAAAAACAGAGTGAAAGGTGAAGAAGAGAGAAAGGTGGTGATAGTAATTAATGTTGAAAATAATGTGACAATTGTGGGGCAATTAATGCAAGTTCATATTTTAGTATATAGTATTTGGACATTATATCCATTTTATATTACAACCTACTTGATATACTCCTTTAATTTAATTATTAATCTATTCGCTTGACCTATGTTCACTTGATATGCCTCTTAAATTTAACAAGTTAAATATTCTTCAAGAAAATTTATTAAACTTATTAATGATACTTTGAATTCTAGATTTGACATATATTGACCCAATATATAAATATTCTTTAAGAAAATTTTGATTAGATATGTATTTTATTAAACTATTCTTTTTAATACTCCTTCGATCCAACAATAGGTGTTCACTATATACTATTTTGGAATGTTCAATAATATTTGTCTACTTTATAAAATCAATGAATAATTTTACACTTAGTTTTTAATTTGTTCTTATCATTAATTATAGTAATTCTTTTATTACATTTTTCAAGATATTGTATTTATTATGTTTCAAATGGTGATATAGTAAAATTACCCTTCTATTTATAATTTTTTAAGAAATGTGTAAAGTCAACAATGAACAAGTATTATTGAACAGAAGGGAGTAATACTTTTTAAGGCTAAATTTGACTATTTCGTTCGTTGCATATTACTTGATTTGTGTTGATTTAACATATCTTTTAAGAATTTTTTTAGTTAAGAGTGTACTTTACTAATCTAAACCTTATCAATGATACTTTGAATTCTAATTTTGACTCCTTCTGTTGAATATTATTTGATTTTTGTTGACTTGACATATTCCTCAAAAAAGTTTTAATTAGGAATGTAGTATGCTACTAAACTAATTTTATTAGTGATGATTTGGTAGAAATGGAATCATTTTTCTTTTATATTCTATACAAAATTCTATGACTTCATTAATAAGTCTAAGTAGCATAAGTAGGTTTCTAGGGATGTTTTAGCAATTTCTTAGAACTCTAAATTTGATTACTGTTACTTTTATTTATTAATAAAGATAGTGTATGATAGAAATGATAAAACTCTAGTAATTTTGAGAAGTAAAATGAAATATATATTTTTAATATAAGGTTTACTTGGGAGAGATAGAGACCCTTTATGTTTCCTTTATTCTTTTTGATAATTTATTATTGAAGTAGGGGTAGAGTTAAAGAAAAATTAATGTCTTTCTTGATTTTTTAAAACAGAAAAAATATGTTTAAACCTTTTCATATACTAGATGATTTAGTTAATATGAACCAAAAAAGAAAAAAAAGAAAAATGATACTAGGAAGAGCCAAGGTATATTAATTGATTTCTTTTTATTTGTTTAAATAATGATAAATAGATTTAATCAATATCTATGTTAAATGAAGATAATTGGTATTTATATTAATAGATGTTGATACACATATGTTGGTCGGAGATGATTGATATTTCATAAAATTAGTTTAAATGCATGCAAATTAAAAATAACAAGTACTTTGTAAAATTAGTCAAGATACTACTGATCTGTTCCTAATTACTTGTTCACTTTTGAATTGACACACCTATTAAGAAAACAATTAATGACATAATGAGTTTACCATTTTACCCCTATTAATTTTGAAGTAGATGAATAAAAAACTTAAGATTTTCAAAAAGTTCTACCGTTTTCAAAGTAATTAATTGAGGGCATAATAGGTAAAATTTTTTTTGTCATTTCCTGATTTGTTAAAATTGACAAGTAATTAGAAACAACTAAAAAATAAAAAAATGGACAAATAATTAGGAACAAAGAGAATAATAAGTTAGTCAGAACATCACATTTATAAAAATAAAAATAAAATAGCATGAAGTGCAAGGGATTTAATAGCCTTTTCTTTTCGATAGAATTAATCGAGTTGTGCATAAATGACTTGTATATCATGGTTACTCAAAAAAATACTAATATTAAAGGAGTGCTAGGACTTTAGTGGTTTTTGTGTCATGTGAATGAGAAAAGAAGCTTCATAAATGCTTATTCAGTACTTATATTGACAGAAAATAATATGTTAAATTAATTGACGTATATGCAAATTAATGAGAATGAGAAAAGAAGCTTCATAAATACTTGTATTGGTAGACGATAACATGCATCACATTATATTAATCGACATACATGCAAATTGACTAGAATGAGAAAGAGAAGTTTCATAAAGACTTGTCTAATATTTGTATTGATAGAAGATGACATGCATTACGTGAAAATAATCTACATATACACAAATTGAAGGTACGTCATAGTTATTTCACAAAATTAGTCTAATACAAATAAATTAATTCACACACCGCGATTATTATTTTTTAAAAAAGTTGTAGGAAGTGCTAGGGTTTTAGTGGCTTTTTGTGGTATTTGTGTTCCTAAGAATAAGAAAAGGAGGTTCATAAAGGCTTTGCCCTACGGTTGAATAAAGAAACAAAGCAACGTTCTTTTGGTCATTCTCTTGAAGTACTCAAAATTTCACTTTTGCTTTTGGCCTTTGGGTACAAAACCAATAAAAATCTTTTAAATTAAACTTAGATTTAATTTAATGCCATGTAACATCATTTGTCACTTCTATATTACTGTATAAGCTATGCACAATAAAGCCTTTTTGATTGACTTGTCACTATTTTAAAAAATGAAAGTTCATATAATATTTTGTGTGTGATCAATGTTTAAAGAATATTTTATCGAAACAATCTCTCTATATTCACATGATAGGAAAAATGTTTTATCAGATCCCACTTGTGAAATTATACTGAGTTATGTTGTTGTTGTTGTTCAAAGAGCATTTTCACATAGACACATAATTGCTTTATTGAGTTTATGTGAAATAAACGATTTCGCGTAGACGTCGTAGGTTTTGAGTTAGAAATGTCATTTTAATATCTATAATGTAAATACTTTTATTTATACTTATTTCTCATGAAATTATGTAAGGTTTGATTTGACGATCATGAATTCTACCAAATCCTTTTTTTACTTGCCGCTACATTTAATCATAGAGGACTAAGGTCGCATGCACGCTATAAATAGAGAGTATCTCTGTTCAGGCTTTAATCGAATCGAATAGTGAAAATACAAGCGAAAACTCACATAGGTCTTAAGACATACAAGAGAAAATAGTTTACAAAAAGAAATAAAGCATATTCAAAGTAGAATTAACTCACATGATTGTAGGCCCCGTAATACGTCAATTCAAGTATATCAATATTATGAAGTTGTAAAATACCTAAAATGGCAAAAAGAAAAAAAATTCAATATATACTTAACTATTTCAATCATCATTATTAAGAATTAGTAATAAAACACTTAAAATGGCAAGAATATCAATATATATACTTAATTAGTTAATGACTATAATGACAAAAAAATAAGAACAAAAAATCAAAGAGAAGTACAATAAAGCAAAAGCAAGAAAAAGGTAAAGAGTGCAAGTTTATATTTAAAGTGAGGAGATTAATCATTTGGTCTAACGACAAAAAGCAAAGTTTGGAATTTTGATTAGAAATATGATTTGTTTAATAATTTGTCTTTTACACTTTATTATGAATAATAAAATAAAACAAATAAATAAATTATTACCTTCTGTTTCTCTTCTTGTCTCCAACGTGGGGCCAAAATCAAATGCTATAATTTGCTTGATTTCATGCAACATTTCCCATGTATGATTTTTTTAATTTTTTATATACTATACTTTTTCTTTTTCTTCTTTGACTAAATTTTTAAATTTTTTTCTTTCTATTGGAGCCTTTAATTCTAATTAGTGGTTTAAGAACATAGCTCCATAAAGTTTAAAGGGTGGAGCGGCAAAAGCAATTATGTATGTTCCATTGGTTAGGGATGACAATGGATCGGTGTGAGTTTGAACTTGTGCAAGCGAGTATAGGGTTATACAGGCGCGGATACGAGACTACGATATTTAGATATGATATCTCTCACTACAAAATAGTTCAACGAATTTTTTTCTTACTTTTTGAAGTAGTTCAATATACTTCTTTTTAATGCGGGTTTGCTATGCAACACACCATAGTTTGTACTGTTTGTTATCCCTACCTTTATTAGTTGTTTAAGATTTGGATATATTTATTAAAAAATTTACGGTACTCCTTCACCAGAGGTCTCAGATTCGAATCTCTTTGGATGTAGAGTCACATTTGTTAGGAAGCGCTTTACCCCCAATGTGATATTTTTAGGCACAAATTCGAATTTAGGCGGGCTCCAATGTGGGTGTTGGACAAGAAAAAAATTTACTTCATAATGGGCCTCAGTTAGCCCAATTGCATTCCCCTAGCCAATTTTGGACTTTGCTTTGGGCCTGAAGTCTTGTAAATTGGAGTGATATTTGTGCAAAATTAACCTTTTAAGTTTAGTGAAAAATTTAGGTACCAAATTTTTTTAAAGTTGAACAACAAAGATGATCAAGTGAGCTGGCAAGAAGAACCAAAATCGGAAAACTATAACATACAAGTCTTGACAGATCGATATAACTTTATGCTCTTACGAGCGGCAAGATTACTCATAAACTACATCGGATTGTCATGATTTCAAAACTACATACACAGAAGAGAAAGAAGAGAGAAAAAATATATGACTTCAAGATATATTCAACGTAGTTGTCCTATTGGATCACTCACAAACCATACCAAATCGTCACGATTAAAAAAAAAGACATTTCAAAACTATGATATTTCATGATATATTTTCATTTATGAGAATAAAAGAGTACAACTTCTCTCTTATCCACAAAGATAGGAGTAAGATCTGCGTATATCCTATCATTTTCAAATTCTACTTACGAGATTATACTGAATATATTGTTGTACTGAATATGAGTAAATTTATTTTTTCAAATAATTGATCCTTTTTTCCTTCTATTGTGGTTAGTAATACTAGCGTTGCATTTGAATAAATCATGATTAGTGAAGCAAGCAAAAGAAGAAGACCAAGTCATATAAAACTATCCCATATGCTCAAATAAAAAATTTCCCACCTCAAAAAAATAAATAAAAATAAGCCATATTTTTATTTAGTCTTGCTTTTTGTAATCATTATTTTCCAGTCAATCTTACTTACCATAAATAAATAAAAATAGTCAATCTTACACATTTTTTGACTCTCAAGGTTGTCAGTTGATTTACATATTTCTAACAAAGCAAAGACTAAAGAAGCAACCATCCAAAACACTATGACGAAATTTTGTACAACTAACAACATTATACCGTTAGGGTTGGGTTGGGCCAGCCCATTTTGACAGCTCTATCCACAAAGATATGAGTAAGATCTGTGTATATTCTATCATTTCCAAACTCTACTTACGAGATTTATTGAATATATTGTTGTACTGAATGTGAGTAAATTTATTTTTTCAAATAATTGATCCTTTTTTTTCCTTCTATTGTGGTTAGTAATACTAGTGTTGCATTTGAATAAATCATGATTAAGGAAGCAAACAAAAGAATAAGACCAAGTCATATAAAATTATCCCATATGCTCAAACAAAAAATTTCCCACCTCAAAAAAAAAAAAAAAAAACTAAGCCATATTTTATTTAGTCTTGCCTTTTGTAATAATTATTTTCCAGTCAATCTTACTTACCATAAATAAATAAAGATAATCAATCTCACACATTTTTTGACTCTCAAGGTTGTTAGTTGATTTACATATTTCTAACAAAGCAAAGACTAAAGAAGCAACCATCCAAAACACTATGAAGAAATTTTGTACAACTAACAACATTATACTTGGTGTAATTCCACAAATGAGGTCTAGAGAGGGAAAAACGTACGTACACAAATCACTTTACCCTACCTCGTGGAGGTAGAGAGAGTTGATCGGGAACTCGATTCTTCTACTGATGAGATCAATTTTACTTCTGACCTTGAGGAAGAATATAGGTAAGGCGTAGGAGGAATTTGCAAAGAGTTCAAGTTCCCTTCCAACATTTCGACAACTTTAGTAATAGATGGTCTATTTGAAGGACCAGTTTGGATGCACCATAGACTCACTATCACCATTTTTCGTGCACATTCTTTCTCCTCTTCATTCATTATCCCGATTAATTGAAGTTCTTCGTCTAGTTCTATTCGTTGATAAAGCCAATCTGGAAAGTAGACTTCACTCGTTCGATCAACAACATTTTTCCTTCCTCCAACCATCTCTAACACCATCATTCCATAGCTATAAACATCAGACTTGTGTGATACGCCTCCCAAGTTTCTACAAACAATTTCAGGAGCAATGTAACCGATAGTCCCTCGTGCACCTAACATTGACACTATACTTTCCTTTTTTACGCAGAGTTTAGCAAGTCCAAAGTCAGATATCTTAGGACAGAAATCTTCATCAAGTAGTATGTTATGAGGCTTGATATCAAAATGTAGAATCCGAGTGTTACAACCACGATGCAAATACTCCAATCCACGAGCAATGCCTAATGCAATTTTATACAGTACTTGCCAATCTAGTTGACGAACTCTGTCTGTGTCTGATCTTTCCTCATAGATGAACTTTTCAAGTGATCCATTGGGCATGAATTCGTAAACTAGAGCTCTTTTTCGACCCTCAAAACAGAATCCCACGAGGCTCACGATGTTAACATGTGATGTCCTGCTAATACTCGATACCTCATTAATGAATTCTTCACCACTGCCTTTTAGTCCATTCAAAACCTTCACAGCAACAGGATTTCCATTATGTAAATTTCCTTTGTATACATAACCATATCCTCCTTGGCCTAGTTTGTTTTTGAAGCTACTAGTCATCTTTTTGATGTCTGAATAACTATATCTCATCGGAGCATATGGCCCGTTGTTCTTGAGAAATGCTTCAATATTTCGATGATCCTCAGCTTTCGATTCCCAAAACCTGAGGTACTTATGCCAGAAAATCTTTTTTCTAAAGCAGAACAGCAAAATAAAGATTCCAATGCAGCCGACAACTGCAACTATATGGAGGAAAATGAAGTCATACACCGGTGAAGAGTCTCTATTCGAGACAATGCAACTAGTACAGTTTTACAAAAGAGTTACCTGTGGCTAAAACAACGATCCATGTTATACGAAGATGCTTTCCTGCAATACGAAAAACGAATAAATAAAGAGTACTAAGATGAAGGAATCAAGCATATTTTACTTCTTGAATACCTTTGCCTTGATCAGTAACAGAACAAAGAAATTTGTTGTTACTATCAACTTGACATCGTCCTCCACTCGAATAACATTGATTACATGTATTAGATATTGTCCATCCAAGAGAAACATCAGCAGCCAACATATCGAACAGGTTACTATTGTTCGATTTTGATTCATAACCTGACACCATAGGCAATTGAATCATTGAACATTTACTAAGAAGAGTTGATCCAATAGAAGAAATGGACGAATGGTTATAGTATAATGTGAAACTTTCACAACCATTGTAACTTTGAAAGCCCTCGTACGAGATATCATTACTAGTATTGCATTTAAACAAGTTGAGGAAAGGGTCGACACTATAGGTGATTATAGGAGATATTGGGAGAGATAGATTTCTATCGAAAGATCGACAACTCTTTTCCTTTAAGAGATTTTCAAGAACAGGATCCTTAATTTTGACAAAAACATTCTGTTTTTCAAGAACTTGATACTTTACTCCTTCCAATTCGATCATCGGATGTGGAGCAGTATCACAATCAACTTTACATAATCCGCAATCAGGTTGATCAGGTTTGTAGAAAGGAAAACTCAGAATTTCTGAACTTCCACATTGGAATTCTTGAGGACAGTGTGAATAAGGTGTGTTCTGTCCTTGAACAGAATCAAAACACCTCTGATGCAACAAAATGAAGACGAAAAACCAAGAAACTAAATCCATGACGATTAACGAGTAAGGACCCCTTATGTTTAAAAGAAGAAAAACAACAGCAACAACATGAGAAGCAACACATCATATAATATGTGCTTAATATTATTTACATATATAACTTTGGAGTTTGAATGAGTAAACATAATTCCTTACTCGATCTTCTACAGTGATTAAAGCAACTAAGGACTTTTCTCCTCATGTTGTCAAAGGAGTCATTTTCATTTCTTTCATTGAATAGTCTCTGCCTTGAAATATAGGTAACTTTTATGGACTTGCATTGTTCACTAGAATTTCCTATTTGGCATATGTTGAACTTCAATGTTGTTAGTTGACTTGGAAGTTTATTACTACAACTTGTTGTATAGGCGTTAAATGCTTCATTTAACGCCTTTGTGAATTGAGGGTCTTGGTTGGTATTTGCAACTTTCACATGAGCTGACATTGACCAACTTTTGCGCGGAAGAATCAACTTAATTGATTTGAGGAAAAGGAACTGTGCAAACGATCTAGGCCTGTATTCGGAGTTGATGTTTAGTCACTCCAAGAGTGGAATCAACAACCACCTCATGTTTCATAAAACCAATCGAGGAATCCATTTAAAGTGGCTGGTGTATGGTAAGATCAGGACTAACAATAAGGGGGAAATACATCTATCAAAGCATTTAACGCCTTTGTAATTCTATAAGTGAGTTCCTCGAGAAGGCATGATATATGCAGATCTTACCCCTATCCCTTTGTGGGGTAGAGAGGCATGCCATATATAGTTCGGAGTCTTTCCTTTATTGTAGAAACTAACAATTTGACCTCATCTCTAAGGCATGATTAAGGTCTACGTACAATCATACACTTAGGCAGACTTCACTATTTGGGAGTATGTTGTTGTTGTTGTAATTGTTACAACTTTTGTAATATTTTTTTGGGAAAATGCATAAGTACCCCCCAGCCTATGCCCAAAATCCCTGAGACACACCTAACCTTTACTAAGGTCCTATTACCCCTCCGAACTTATTTTATATATAATTTTCTACCCCTTTTTGGCCTACGTGACATTATCTTGTGGACCCAGTGCGTGTTGACAATTTTTTCAAGGATAGTGCCACGTAGGCCGAAAAGGGATAGAAAATTATATATAAAATAAGTTTGGGGGGGGGGGGGGTAATAGGACCTTAGTAAATGTTAGGTGTGTCTCAGAGATTTTGGGCATAGGCTGGGGGTACTTATGCATTTTCCCATATTTTTTCTTATTAGATATTTTAGTGCAAAATATGTTAATTGTTTGGTGATTTGAGATTGATTTTGATGTTAGCTTTGAGGTTTGAATTGTTTTTGCTAGATATTTGGACTTTGGAGTATAATATTGTTACACATGTTCTAGTTGTGATTTGTGGTTTTTTTGTTGATTGAAACTTATAAAAATGACAAGGGGTGCTTTTCAAGACTTTTCATAGATAGCTCAAATCCGTCTAAATAGCTAAAGAAAAAAGAAATCATCTAGAAATTGTTATTACTTTGCCGGTTTCAATTTATTCGTATGATTTTGACTTAACACAAAATATAAGAAAAAAAAGATTTTTTTTGAGTCTTGTAATTTTAAATTAAAGATACGTAGAATGCACAAAAATATCTGTCAATCTCGTGGTCTTAAATATGTCATATGAGAAGTTAAGATAAATCACTATATATTTAAAATTTTAGTAAATAATATACACATTAAATTTAAAATTCAATTATTAGCAATTAGGGATCGTTTGGTAGCTAGTTAGAATTATGCAGATATTAGTAATGTAGGTAGTAATTATGAGTGAATCTAAGTATTGATTTATACATTTATTATCCATGTATTAGTTATTCCACTTTCTATCAGGTATAAAATAATATATGTATTCCCTCGTAAGTCGTAACTTATACATGTATTAATCATGCGGTTTTTTTGCAAATCAAACCTCATATTAATTTTATACATGAATAATTTACCTTCTATTTAGCTACCAAAAATAATTTTACTTATGCAAAATCTAATACCTCCATAACTCACATTTTAACCATCTACGATACGACCCCTCAAAAACAAGTTTTCCCAAGATTAACCATCTCACCCTCGATGTGGGATAAAAATAACAACAAAAGAAAAAAAAGAAAAAAAATAAATTCATAAGCTTTGTGACCACTCATTTTATGTCCCCTTTATCCAAACATATATGTGGTCAATAATTAACTGTCAATCAAATATCAATATATATATAACAGAAATAACCACTTCTGTTAATAATTTTCAATTTTAACCCAAAGTTCTTCACTTTCACTTCACTCTATGTATTCTCTGCATTTCCATTTCACAATCAGACCAAAAAACTATGAAATCAACAACAAATTTTCATCAATTTGTTCATGGAAATCGAGTTTCTCGTCTTTGGAATACGTTAAATTCGATTTGAAGAATGAGAATTTTAAAGCTTATTATTACAGAAAAGGGGATTTTTTAGGAGGAGATGCAATGGGAGTAGAGAAAAATGTTGGATGTGAAGTGGAAGTTGTTTCGTGGAGAGAACGAAAGATTAAAGCTGAGATTTTGGTGAATGCTGATGTTGATTCTGTTTGGAATGCTCTTACTGATTATGAAAGGCTCGCTGATTTTGTCCCAAATCTTGTTAGCAGGTAATAGCAGCAATGTATGCTTATTTTTCTAATAAATGATAGTACTTGTGTTGTAAAAACGGAGCGAGGATTTGAAGCTTACGAATTAGGGATTTTAGAGGGGGGTGGGGGTGGGTGGGAGGGTTGGAGTGTTTAGTTGCCAGTTGAGACTAAGTTGAGCTTAGGGGTGAAACTAGGTAGGGTCGAGGGATTCATCTGAATCCCCTTCGTCGAAAAATTACACTATTTATACATGGTTAATTTTTTCTTTTAATGTATATATTTAGTAGATGTTGCACTTCTTTGGGCTTTTTCGTGTGTTTACTTATTCATATTTTGAACCCATTTAGTGAAAATCATGGCTCCGTCATTGGTTGAGGTGTCTAGATGTGCACTCTCAAAGGTATAGTGCGTACGGCTTACTTGTCAGTTGAGGCCAAGTTTGAGTGTATGTTTATGTATTATGACTTTTTACATATTAAATGTATTTCTTAAAACAAATGTAGGATTTGAACCAAAACTACTGGTTTTGCCGAACCAGCATCCTACACTCTGCATTCGACCTAGTTACCGAAGGGTGTGACCTAGTGATCAATGAAGTGAATGGAGAACCGTGAGGTCTTATGCTAAAATTAATACAGAGGCACAAAAAATGCTACGTGATTTCTTCCTATGGCATTGATAGATAGAGTTACTTGGTATCTATAATATAGTGAGGAGCTAACAGGTACCTAGCGGAATAGTCAAGTACAGGCAAGCTAGCTCAAACACCACGTTTTGTTTTTCATGAAGTTCGTACTTTTGAACATAATCCTCTATGGGTTGTGAGCCATTCACTGGAATCAGAGACATGCCTACAACTTACTGCAATGAGAGTCTGTCTTTGAAACTTTGTTCTTCTAATACGATTTCAGAATAAACACATTCAGTACTAAAAGTAGAGATGGATATCTGCATTGGGCGTCTCTGGAGTCTTTGCTAACATCCATATAATCTTGAAAGTTTTTTGTCTGTCAAATCATCGTGATATTCGTATTGCATATATTTGTGTATGATGATTTAGGAATATACTTTGCATTACATACTAATGGATGAATTACTTGTTAATCACAGTAGGAGAATTCCTTGTCCACATCCTGGACGTATTTGGTTGGAGCAAAGAGGTATCCAACGATCACTCTATTGGCACATAGAAGCTCGTGTTGTATTGGATCTCCAAGAATTCATCAAATCGGTAAGCATATGAAATCTGTGTGTATGATAGTTCGTCTGATCTGTGACATTCTAATATATGTCTACAGTCCATGCTTGTCTAAACCAAGAGCTATGTTTTATATTGCTCTTTTACAAATTTAGAATAATGTTCGCGAGCTCCATTTCTCTATGGTTGACGGTGACTTCAAGAAGTTTGAAGGCAAATGGTCTGTGAGAGTTGGAACAAGGTACAATCTTTATCGAAGGAAACTTTGTTGTTCCTAATTTTCCTTTTATGTTGTCTTCAAGAATACTGTAGAGACCTACAAATGCCTTTTCTTTTCAGGTCTTCAACAGCTATACTAAGTTATGAAGTTAGTGTCATACCAAGGTTCAACTTTCCTGCCATTTTCTTGGAGAGGATTATCAGGTCAGACCTCCCGGTAAATCTTCAAGCGTTGTCCTGTAGAGCTGAAAACAGTTATCAAGGTTATCAGAGTGTTACCAAAGAGGAACCTGGTTCTTACCTTATTTCCACTAAGACAGATATTGATCATGTCATTTCCCACGAAAATAAATCTTCCGGTGAACACTTAAAGGACAAGTTTGTCAAAGCCACTTTTGGCCCATCGACACCAGTTACAAGTGATGTGAGTAACAATTGGGGAATATTTGGTAAAACTTGCAGACTTGACAAGCCATGTGTGGTGGATGAAGTCCATCTCCGAAGATTTGATGGTCTACTGGTAATTAATAGACTGTATACTGTGACTTACTTTTTCCTGTGAAGCTGTATTGTTTTGGTAGTCCCTTTGATAAATTGATTTTGGGGTGAAGGAAAATGGAGGTGTTCATCGTTGCGTTGTTGCTAGTATTACAGTAAAAGCTCCAGTTCGCGAAGTATGGAATGTTTTGACTGCTTATGAAAGTCTTCCTGAGTAAGTTTTCAGGGCTTTCTTCTAATATAATTTCTGGATTGGTCATCATACTAATGGTAATTCATCCCAAATTGTTGCAGAATAGTTCCAAATTTAGCGATCAGTAAGATCTTATCACGAGACAACAACAAAGTTCGCATTCTTCAGGTAAATGACAGAATGAATAATTTTGGGGGCAACTGTGAAATGAATACGTTGTGTATTGCAACGAGATATGTTTCTCTAATATTAGGTGATGCTTCTACTTGTCCATTTCCAGGAAGGATGCAAGGGTCTTCTATACATGGTACTCCATGCACGTGTTGTCCTAGACTTATCTGAACTCATGGAACAAGAAATTAGCTTTGAGCAGGTGGAAGGAGATTTCGATTCTTTTGAAGGAAAATGGATCTTAGAGCAATTAGGCAGTCATCATACTCTATTGAAGTATAGTGTGGAGTCAAAAATGCACAAGAATTCATTTCTTTCTGAAGCAATTATGGAAGAGGTTTGTATCCATGTCTACTCCCTTCGTCATCCACTAAACATCGAAATTTATGTTAAGCGGATCTTGTGCCTAACTCGCATCAATAAATCTGCAGAAAATATTATAAATTAGAATGCCTTATGTGCTTTCTTCTGCTCTTATTCTGTCATTTTCAGGTCATATACGAGGACCTTCCCTCAAACTTATGTGCAATCCGAGATTACATTGAGGAACGAGAGACTGAGAAACCTCTTGAGAAATTTAACCATGATGAATTTCGAGAGGCATCGGTTAGTTCATCAATGAAGGATTCATCTGTTTATTATGATAGGCAAGCCGGGCAGAATTCAGATAGTAGTAGTTTACATTCACCTAGACAAAGGCCGAAAGTTCCAGGGTTGCAGAGGGATATTGAAGTTCTTAAAGCTGAGCTCTTGGCTTTTATCTCCGAACATGGACAAGAAGGATTTATGCCTATGAGAAAGCAACTCAGGAAACATGGAAGAGTGGATATTGAGAAGGCGATTACACGTATGGGAGGTTTTAGAAGAATTTCTTCATTGATGAATCTATCTCTTGCTTACAAACACCGCAAACCAAAAGGTTATTGGGATAGCTTGGAAAATTTACAAGAGGAGGTTAGTTAAACAGTTCTTCGTACGTATTATCAACTTCTCATTTCTTGCAAAAGCTATGAATACATGCAAAAAGGAAACCAGCTTAAGATACTGACCAATGCAGGAAAAAATCGAGTTTTAGCAGATTTAACCAACCTTCTTGTTGCATTTCATATTTTCTTGATTATTTTGATTAAGCTTGGAAATGATCTGCAATTTTTCAGATCAGTCGTTTCCAGAAGAACTGGGGAATGGATCTATCGTATATGCCTAGTAGAAAGTCCTTTGAACGTGCAGGTATGGAACTAGATTACACGATTTTGTTCCTTTTTTGGTATAATACACTCCTCCCCACTCACTGTCCTACAAAAATGGAAGAAATGAGAGTGAAGGTCAAAAACATGCCTGAAGTATCTCTTTTTTCGAGTTTCCTACCTGAACTATCACCATCTTTTTATCAAAACACACCTCCACTATCAATTACCGGAACGATTTTTCTATACAAGAAAAAACAACCATCTTTCCTTTCTAGTAGCCACTTACAAAATGAATGGAAAACTGAATAAGAAAATGTGCTACTTCCAAGCTCAATCAAAATAAATAAGATCAGCAAACTACATCACTCTGTAATTTTGATGAGTACCAAACCTCATAGGGTTTCATAGTTTTGGTTATGGTACTACTTCCTCCGTCCTATTTTATATGAAGGTGATTGACTGGGCAAAGAGTTTAAAGAGAAAAAAGAAGGCTTCTGAAACTTATGGTCTAAAATAAGACATAAACTTTTGTTGTAAGAGCGAATGAGAAGTTTGAAACTAAATTGTTATTTAAATAAAAAAATATGTCATTCTTTTTGGGACTGACTAAAAAGAAAAGAGTGTCACATGCATTAGAGGACGTAGGGAGTACGTGTTTTTGGAAGTGTAACTCGGCCTGAGGAAGTTCGATGGTCCCGGACCAACAATGGTGGTTGACATTGGGACAATCAGATATGTGGATCCCATCTGTGTGCCACAAGACACAATGTTTCCCAGGCCTAGAGTTGCTCTAGTTCTTTACCTCACAAATAGTGCTGACTATCTCAAGTTATCTCTTACAGGCCGCTATGATATTGCTCGTGCATTAGAAAAATGGGGTGGCCTTCATGAAGTTTCGCGTCTTCTGTCACTTAAGGTAAGGCATCCTAACAGACAAGCAAGCCTTGCCAAAGAGAAGAAAGTTGAGTTATTAGCTAATGATGTAAATTGTGAAACGACATCGTCTAAACCTTTTGTTGCACAAGATGCAAAGAAATGGCTCATGAAACTCAAGGACTTGGACATAAATTGGGTGGAATGAGTATTGAATTTTGTTTCACAATACTTTTCTGCTAAAAGCATGACAACAGCTAATTGTATCAAGTGTACATATATCAATCAAGTATGTTTCAATTCCAAACTAGTTCGAGTTACCTTCTGCTTTATGCTTTTATAACTGAAAAATAGACTCACTTACAATGACTTAGTCGAAGTTAGTTTTCATCATATTCTTCAGCGTCTGGATATTGACAGATAGACGATATAGACCATCGTCCTTCATGTCTTCACTGCTGCATAAAAAATGAATGCAGAACAAATCATTTTGATTGAAGGCTATCAGGTACTATTTATACATTATGCCACTGTGTGAATAGTAAAGTTATTACTATTATGCAAGGAACCTAACAACAACAACAATAAGGTGAGGTCACTTAAACATAGTAAACAACAAATGAAATCAGATTCCAAAAACCAATGACTACATGAATCATAATTAAGGAGACAAACAAATGAATAACAATAACATGCCCGGTGTAATCTCACAAGTGGGGTTTGGGGAGGGTACAATGTACGTAGACCTTAACTTACCCCTACCTTGGAAGTAACATAGGTTGTTTCCGATAGACCCTCAGCTCTACTAGGAAAAACATCTCTAAGTTGATCGAAAAAGACATATCAGAGGTGAAGAAATCATGGAAAAATACTCATAATTGAGGAAGCAAACAAAAGAGGAAGACTAACAATTGAGGAAGCAAACAAAAGAAGAAGACTAAAAGTCATATGGAATTATTCTATGCTCAAACAAAATAATTCCTACCTCAAGAAAAGGAATACTAGATATTAAATTAATTGTTCAGTGGAATTTTATTTATTTTTAATTATTATTTTCCAGTCAACTTAGTGGATTAGGAAATTTCTCAGAAATCAAGATTAAGAGTCTGAGAGTTCTCTTTGAACTTAGCTTTTCCTTCTTCTTTGTCATGGAAATCTGGGAAACTTTGCATTTTGACTATGTAAAGTCATTAGATCCATTCATTTTACATGTAACAATTTTACATCCCTGATGAATAAAGATAATTGCAGCACAAATTTGAATCTTCGTTAAATATAATCGTTTCTTTGAAGATCTAGATAGATTATTACAACTACATTGATTGAACGAAACTTCTCCTGGTAGTCCACTTAAACGTTTGATCTACTACACTGATATGAACCCACTTCCAATGAATCTACCTCTGATCTCGAGGGAGAATATAGGTAAGGCTTGGGAGGCATTTGCAAAGAGTCTAGTTTCCCTTCTAACATTTCCACAACCTTGCTCATCGATGGTCGATTTGAGGGATCAGTCTGTATGCACCATAAACTCACCATCACCATCTTTCTTGCACATTCTTTCTCCTCTTCATTCATTATCCCGATTAGTTGAAGCTCTTCATCCAGTTCAATTCGTTGATAGAGCCAATGTGGAAAGTAGATTTCACTCGTGCGATCAACTCCAACATCAACATTTTTTCTTCCTCCAACCATCTCTAGGACCATCATTCCATAGCTATAGACGTCAGACTTGTGAGAGACACCTCCCAAGTTTCTGCAAACAATTTCTGGAGCAATATAACCGATAGTCCCTCGTGCACCTAACATTGACACAATGCTCTCCTTTTTCATGCACAGTTTGGCTAGACCAAAGTCAGAGATCTTCGGACAAAAATCTTCATCAAGGAGGATATTATGAGGCTTTATATCAAAATGCAAAATCCGAGTGGTACAACCACGATGCAAGTACTCCAATCCTCGAGCAATGCCTAGTGCGACTTTGTACAGTATTGGCCAACCCAATTGACGAACACTGTCAGATCTTTCCTCATAGATAAATTTTTCAAGAGATCCATTTGGCATGAATTTATAAATGAGAGCTCTTTTGCAACCCTCAAAACAAAATCCCTCAAGGCTCACAACATTAACATGTGATGTCCTGCTAATACTTGCCACCTCGTTAATGAATTCTTCACCATTGCCTTTTAGTCCATTCAGGACCTTCACAGCCACATGACTTCCATTCTGCAGAGTTCCTTTGTATACAGAACCATATCCACCTTGACCTAGTTTGTTTTTGAAGCAACTGGTCATCCTTTTGACCTCTGAGTAGTTATATCTCTTTGGAGCGTATGACCCATAGTTCTTCAAAAATGCTTCAATATTTTGGTGATCCTCAGCATTAGATTCCCAAAACCTGAGGCACTTATACCGCAAAATCTTTTCTCTGAAGAAGAAGAGTAGAACCAATAGTCCAACTGTACACAAAACTGCACCTGTGGAAAGCAAAGTGAAGTCATGCATGATCAGAGAATATAAATTAAACATCACAAGGAGAAAGAATGTCCTCTCAACTCCACTATCGGTACGTTGTGTAATCTAAAGTACTTGTCTCTCCAATTTTTGAGATTTTACCACAATGAAGAAGAAAGAACCCTGCAGTTAATGGATATTTAACTACCTGCTCCCAGAGTCAGTCCCCACTTGCTTCTAGCATCTTTTGCATCTAAAAAGAGAGGAAAAACACTATGAAATATTATACATATGTGATATGAATACAAGACAGGACACTAAGAAAGATGCACTGTGTGACTGAACCTTGTTCATGTGGATTATTTTCTTGATGACTTTGAGCTTGTGGACTATATGGATATGTACAGTGAAATTTGTTGTTTATATCAGTCTGGCATTGACCTCCGCCATAGTGACATTTGTTACAGTCCTCAGAGATCTTCCATTCTACAAAAAAAGTGGCGCTTAACATATTGAACACACCATCATCATCTGATATCGAGCGGATCGGCAATCCGATGAGTGAACAGTTTGCAGGAAGATTGCCTGCTCGCACGTCTTCATCATCACCTCCAGGAAGCTTGTAGAATAAGCTAAAGTCTTTACAGCCACTGTACATTCTATAACCAGCAAAATGATCTTTCATCTGCTGGGTAGTGTTTGGGGTGCTACTACTAGTGCTGTTGCATTTGATGAGGTTGAGAATATTCAGTGGGAGAATTTCAAAAGAAATAGAAGGAGAGTATGGTAAGGAGAAGTTTTTGTTAAAAGCCTGGCAGTTGTGTTGCCTCAACTTGGCATGAAGCTTGGGGTCCTCAACGCAAACTGTATAATTATACATATTTACTACAACATAGTACGAATCTCCTTCAGGAAGCAATCGGATTTTCGGAAATGTTTTAGCATCACAACCAGATAAGAACATTATTCCACAGTCAGGTTGTGTGGAAAGAGAGAAAGGAAAGCTGAGGTCAGTAAGATTTCCACATGAAAAGGACTTTGGACAAGTTGAATCATTTCTGCCCATTGCCTGAACTAAGTAACTGATCAGAAAAAAGCATATTAAAGAAGTGTAAGTCATATTAAATCCTCCCACTGATCAAGCAAAAGTCTCCTCCTATATCAACAAGAGGAAAAATTATGAATTCAGTTGTTCACAAGCACTTACGCGTTTTTAAAAGCATAGTGGATGTGGAAAAGTTGTTAGAACGTATATTAAGGGGCTGTGAGGAAAGACTTGAAGTCATGTAGAAATAACAAAATCACATTTGGCCCATGGGCCAGCTTCAGTCAAGTCTTAAGGGCCGGTTGGCTTTCTTAGGCTGGGCTAAAAGGCCTCGGTCTTTTTAATGGACTAAAAAAATAAAGGGAAAATTACGCGGAAAAGCAAGCATATACTAGTTAATTAGCTAATATAGCTATAGTTTGAATTAATTACGGCTTACAACTTAATTTTAGCTTTAATTACGTCACTTGTCCTCTTTTATATATATACAAATACAAATTATACACATATATATACAATTATATGACATATATACAAATACAATTAGTCTCTATCCACTCTCTGGCCTTTCTCACTCACCTCTCCTCTCCCTCTCCCAATCTCTCTTGCCAGATATATAAATACATATGTATATCAGTTATATATATATACAATTATATGACAGATATACATATACAGTTCGCCTTTCTTCACTCTCTTCCCTCTCTCGCTCGCCTCTCTCCTCCATCTCCCAATCTCTCTCGCTAGATATACAAATACATATGTGTACCAGTTACATATATACAATTATTTGACAGATGTACATATACAATTCGACAAATATACATATACAATTCGCCTCTCTCCACTCTTTGCCCTCTCTCTCTCGCTTCTCTCCTCCCTCTCCCAATCTCGCTCGCCACTCTTCTCCCTATAACATGTAGCTACGAATCGTAATTAACAAACTATATCTATGGAGCATAATTAAGCTATCTTTGAGTGACTATATGCGAAAGTTCCCCAAAAAAAATCTAGTGCAGCCCTATTAAATAAAGGGTTAGGCACCGAGCCATGTATAACTTCATCAGCTAGCAGATGAAACAAGCCACTATCATTTGATTTTTCTGCTGAACTTGCTGCCAAAAGGCAACTGAATATATGAACAGATACTAGTAAGAGGAAATCCTGGATAATAATTGACTGATGTGTTATAGTGTAGTATGAAACTATCACAGACATTGTAACTTTTGGAGTTGAAAAAATTCGTCATGAGTACTCTTTTAGCTTCTGTTGCATTTGAACAAAGTGAGTATCTTGTTGTAGTCTCCTTATTTGGTCTTGGAAAGATCTCATCACATGCACTAACTTTTGGGGTTGAATTAGGCTCCAGACCACAATTGGGCAAACCAAAAAGGCAATCTCATTATTTAATTGTCTGGAAATTATCTTATAGTCAGACATATGCTGAACAGGTAAAATGAAAAGCACTAATTAGGTCTGCTTATTATGCTGACATTCCTCTAGGCAAATCACTCTTCTTTTAGAATTAAATCATTAAGAAAAACATCAACTTACAGCTTCTTACATTCAAAGACATCTAAACACATCAGAAACCGAACCTGTAACAGTACCAGTTTTTGCTACAATTCCATAACAAAATGTGACTGCAGTGATATTAGCTGAGATATGAACACATAAAGGCTAGGCTAGTTCTACTACTGATGAATCTACCTCTGTTCTTGAGGGAGAATAAAGATAAGGCTTGGGAGGCATTTGCAGAGAGTCTAGTTTCCCTTCTAACATTTCCACAATCTTGCTCATAGATGGTCGATTTGAGGGATCAGTCTGTATACACCATAAACTCACCATCACCATCTTTCTTGCACATTCTTTCTCCTCTTCATTCATTATCCCAATTAGTCGAAGCTCTTCGTCCAGTTCAATTCGTTGATAGAGCCAATGTGGAAAGTAGATTTCACTAGTGCGATCAACTCCAACGTCAACATTTTTTCTTCCTCCAACCATCTCTAGGACCATCATTCCATAGCTATAGACGTCAGACTTGTGAGAGACACCTCCCAAGTTTCTGCAAACAATTTCTGGAGCAATATAACCGATAGTCCCTCGTGCACTAAACATTGACACAATGCTCTCCTTTTTCATGCACAATTTGGCTAGTCCAAAGTCAGAGATCTTCGGACAAAAATCTTCATCAAGCAGGATATTATGAGGCTTTATATCAAAATGCAAAATCCGAGTGGTACAACCACGATGCAAGTACTCCAATCCTCGAGCTATGCCTAGTGCAATTTTGTACAGTATTGGCCAACTCAATTGGCGAACACTGTCGGATCTTTCCTCATATATAAATTTTTCAAGAGATCCATTTGGCATAAATTCATATACGAGAGCCCTTTTACATCCCTCAAAACAAAATCCCACAAGGCTCACGACGTTAACATGTGAGGTCTTGCTTATACTTGCTACCTCGTTAATGGATTCTTCACCACTTGCCTTTTAGTTTCTTCAGGACCTTCACAGCCACATGACTTCCATTATGTAAACATCCTTTGTATACAGAACCATATCCTCCTTGACCAAGTTTATTTTTGAAGCCACTGGTGATTCTTTTGACTTCTAAATAGTTGTATCTCTTTGGAGAACACGATCCATAGTTTTTTAAAAATGCTTCAATATTTTGGTGATCCTGAGCATTAGATTCCCAAAACCTGATGTATTTGTACCACAAAATCTTCTCTCTGAAGCAGAAGAGTAAAACCAACAGTCCAACTGTAAACAAAACTGCACCTGTGGAAAGTAAAGTGAAGTCATGCACCATCAGAGAATATAAATTAAACATAGCAAGGAGAGAGAATGTCCTCTCAACTCCACTATCGGTCTGTTGTGTAATCTAAAGTACTTGTCTCTCCAATTTTTGAGATTATACCACAATGAAGAAGAAAATCTAAAGAAAAAAGGACCCTGCAGTTAATGGATTTTTAACTACCTGCTCCCAGAGTTAGTCCCCACTTGCTTCTAGTCGTTTTTGCATCTAAAAAAAGAGAAAAAATACTATGAAATATTAACAATATTTGATATGAAAAAGATAAAAGGACTTCATGAAATATACAGTAGACCTTGAACTTGTGGATTATTTTCTTGATGACCTTGATCTTGTGGATTATTTGGATATGTACAATGAAATTTGTTGGTTATATCAGTCTGGCATTGACCTCCGCCATAGTGACATATGTAACAGTCCTCAGATAGTTTCCATTCTACTATAAAAGCGGCGCTTAACATATTGAACAAACCACCATCATCTGATAGGAAGCGGATCGGCAACCTGATAATTGAACAGTTGGCAGGAAGATTGCCTGCTCAAACGTCTTCACGATCACCTGTAGGAAGCTTGTAGTATATGCTAAAACCTTTACAACCATTATACATTCTATAACCAGCAAAATGATCTTTCATCTTCTGGGTAATGTTTGGGGTGCTACTACTAGTGCTGTTGCATTTGAAGAAGTTGAGAAAATTCACTGTGATGATTTCGAAAGAAATAGAAGGAGAGTCTGGTAAGGAGAACTTCTTGTTAAAAGCCTGGCACTTGTGTTGCCTTAACTTGGCATGAAGCTTGGGGTCCCCTAGCCCAAATGTATAATTAAATGGATTTACTAAAGCATAGTACGAATCTCCTCCAGGAAGCAGTTGGATTCTCGGATATGGTTTAGCATCACAACCAGATAAGAACATTATTCCACAGTCAGGTTGTGTGGAAAGAGAGAAAGGAAAGCTCAGGTTAGTAAGATTTCCACATGTAAAGGACTTTGGACAAGTTGAATCATTTCTGCCCTTTGCCTGAACTAAGTAACTGATCAGAAAAAAACACATAAAAGAAGTGAAAGTCATCTTAAATCCTCCCACTGATCTAGCAAAAGTATCCTCCTATATTATGAATTCAGTTGTTCACTGCACTTATGCTTTTAAGACCACAGTGAATGTGGAAAAGGTGTTAAAACGTATATTAGGGGCTGTGAGGAAATTTTCAAAGCACCTTATTGTCAACAGAAAGACTTGAAAGTCATCTAGCAATAACTAGACTACATTTTCAAGCATAGTGAAAGAAAATGACTTGATATGTATCCAGGATGACTTCATTTTAAGATATTCCCTCAGTCCCAAAAGGGCTTTCAAGCCATGACAGCATAACTTCATCAGCTAACAGATGAAACAAGCCACTTTCATTTGATTTTTCTGCTGAATTTGCTGCCAAAGGACAGCTACTAGGAAGAGGAAATCCTGGATAATAATTGACTGATATGTTATAGTATAGTATGAAACTATCACATATTAGAGTGAGTCCCAAATTTGGTTGGGGAATGGACCTGTGGTCCCCTTATATGGACTTGGGCAATCCTCCCCTCATGAGCTAGCTTTTGGGGTTGAGTTAGGCCATTTACCATATCTTTACATGGTATCAAAGTCAAGTCTTGGGTGTGAAGGAGGTGTTAGAGTGGGTAAAAGTCCCACATTGGTTGAGAATTTTTTATCAAAAATCTGGCAACTTCGATTCTTCAAGAATGTTTCAAGAACGGGTCCTTAAGGTTGACAAAAACATGTTGAAACCTTTTGTACTAAGAAACATCAATATCTTGTTTTAATAAAGATGTAAATATAAAATTTGAGTTTTCTTTCTTAACCCAAACAAGATCCAAAATTAGAATCTTACTTAGCTTGCAACAGTCTAACGGTCTTACCGAGATCCAAACTGGTAAATAGCACAGATGAAGAGATCGGATATCCATTTTAACGGTCTCACAGTGGTCAAGGGTATTAGTTCTAGTCTCCTTATTTGATCTTGGAAGATCTCATTACATATGCTAACTTTTGGGGTTGAATTAGGCAAGACATATGCTGAACAGGAAAAATGAAAAGCACTAATCAAGTTTGCTTATTATGCTGACATTCCTCTAGGCAAATCACTCTTCATTTAGCATTAACTGATTAAAAAAAGCATGAATTTACAGCTTCTTACATTCAAGGACATCTAAACACATCAGAAACCGAACTGTAACAGTACCAGTTTTTGCTAC